ATGGTACTGACTGAGGCTTTGAACGAAGCTGCTGTATCACAACGCCGTGGTTTCGTGTCCGCTGCAGCTGAACTCTGGCCAACTGGACTTATTCGAATACTACTTCCTGAGGTATGTATACAAGTTCAAATTGAAAAGCTCCCTCGATTGATTGCTTTAGGTGAAAGCCATTGGCCGATGTGTTTGCCTGGCCGGTCACGAGGATATGGCAGCCCTTGTCCGACGAGCCGCTCAAGAGGTAGGATGCCGGCTTTGATTTTTCCATCAAACTACGAAAAACTTCATTATAGGGCACTCCAAGGTTGATGACCGACTCATGGGAACCAATTCCACCATGTGAAATACGCACTGAGCAGCATTTGCTCAGTTATCTGGCAGCGTTTCTTGGCCACTTCGGACCTCAACACATCATCATCGACATCCCTCTTCGACTGCTTCTGAAGTCACTGTCTGGGAATTGGCCAACAACAGGGCAGGCTCTAGCAGAGTGGGCTACTAAGTTAGTTTTTTTACTAGCTGAACAATGACGTAACTGAAGGTCCAAGCTTCCAAAGGGCTGTCTAGGCATCTCAGACAACATTTTTCATGAGTTCGTGGGACCAACTGAACGATTCTGTGGCCATCGGTTCCGTGGGAAGCCAAGCCAACATATTCAGAGGGTTTCTAACATGACATAAATAAGATCCAATTCACTTCTTTTCCACGGTTAGGTAGAGGCGCTCCTAAGATCCTTCCGATCGTCATGATGTTTCAAGAGAAATGAAAGCACTTGTTTGACGTTGCTTTGAATTGTTTCGATGAAGGGATGGACGAGCTTCCTCGACGTAATGCCGTTGACCGTCAGTATCATTATATGTATCGGGGGTCTGGGAACTTCTCCCTTAACACGGCGTCGCACACGCCGCACCCGCCGTCTATCGCAGAATTGCGATGGAAGACTGGAGCGCGCAATTTGTGGTGTAGGGAGTCCTTTAATTATTTGAATTNATAAACATAACAACATAAAAAGAAACAGAAGAAAAAACGATCAAATCCAATAAAAAAGCAAGGCAATCAACGAAATATATCCTATCGATTGGCGGGGAGGCGGGGTGAGTACGGTAATTGCAGTGATATGTGCCACATGCTGCAAGGGAGAAAGCCGCGATCGGGGAGAAGTTCCGTTACCCATGTATCGGTAGTCCTCTGGCGCGTGCCATGTTCCTGCATATCGACATGGCTCCAATACGGACACCGTATCCTTGCGAAAGGTCTTTTTCCAGAACGCCTTGTATGTGACAGGCGGTTGGAGACGCCATAGAGTGCACTCAGACTCCACCGACAAGCATTGTTTTCACCCACCAACCGATGGCGCCACTGTCCGTCTACGTGTTGACAACGCAGGACCAATAGCGTTCAAGGTTGTGAAGAACACTGGGCACCGATCTCTACCGCTCACGCGGCCCTCAACGCAGTCTTTCCTGCGTTGTCAACACGTGGCCAGAAACTTCGTCGCTTGGAGGGAACGATGCACGTCGGCGGAGTCTGAAAGCGCCCATAGTCTTTGCCGGCACCATAGCATGTAAAGAGAAAGTGGTCCTGCAAAGTTTTTTTGCAAACGGTCGTCACGCAGACTTGTGCGTTTTTGTGCAGACATGTGGGTAAAAACGCAGCTTCTATGAATACGCCCGGTCCCATCGTGTCTAAGCCGTTTCATTTAGACAAGGGCTTGCTGTCTAGGCTATTGTGTTCGTGAACCGGTTCGGGAAATTTCTATGGTTCGAATTGTGGGTGCGGTAATTTCTCCCCAAAAATCGCGTCGCGTTCGTCGCAATCATTCGCGTGCTATGGAGGGAAAGGTTTGAATTTCTGGTGGAAAGATATGGCGGTCGCCTCCGGACCACTGCTACTAGCTGTGGGAAGTGGGGGAGAAGTATCGCCACCCTCGAAATAACTGCCGTGATCGAGCCCTCGAGCGGAACTCAAGAGAGTGCCAACGTTGCAGAGGCTTGTCACATTGACAGTATTCCACCATTGATGAAAATGTAGTCGGAGGGGCCGCTTCACTATGATCTCCGTATCTAATGCTAATGGCTAGAACGTAGTGAAAGATAGGACGCAGACTTTGTTATCCATAGTACTTAGGAACGATTCTGAGCTATGGGAATGAAACCCCTTACAGCCTAAGCCTCAAAAGGGAATAGCACCAGGGAGAGTGGGAAGCTGACCTCATAAAATGGTTGGAATGTTTGCTTTTAGACTTCAACGTCCGTCCGTTGCGTGCGTGCCGCGACGGCGGTTCCATACAGGCGTTGACAGGGCTGGATACCGATCGATACCGCAAGAGGGGATGATGAAATTAGTCGTCGCCCTGTCTTGCGGTATCGATAGGTATTCAGCGCTGTCATCACCTGTCTAAAGCCGCTGTGGCGGCACGCACGCGACGGACCAGCGGGCGGACGTTGAAGTCTGAAAGCAACCAGTGGGGGAGGAATAGGTTAACGGGATACTATCTTGCTGAGAGTACGCAGACAAGGGCGCAAAAACTAGTGTCTCCTCCAACTACATCTTCACCAAGTAATCCAGACGCCGGTTCTGAACGAGTGTCCGGATACTAGACATCCAATTGGCCACCCCAGCGAGCAGCCCAGTGTCATTACCAGGGTCCGCTTTTTGATACTTCTGATTGAGAATTTGTAGACCAAATGGGGTTATGGCGTTAGAGGAAATATGTTGTCTGTAAATTTTGCAATCTTTGCACTTCATTTCATCGTAAAATCACTGTAAAAACTGGATTCTCGCAATGAATTTTCGTTATCGTCTCTCATTCCAAAACCATTTGTCGCTAATGGTGTCAACTTCAAATTATGTTAGCGAAATTCTACGATTTTGTGCAATATAAACTCGATTCGTTCCATTTTCAGGAGATCTTATCAATTCATAGTTATGTTTGAAGTACTTTATTTGGCATCCAGTATACGGCATCGACGTATTCTTGTGGAAGCTGTACAGGTTGGTGGTTTTATTTAGGCATGTCTTAAGTAGGATTTCAGAATGACCATCACCATAGCTAAACGATTGATTGCAGCCTTTATCATCGCTGAAGTTCAAGTTCTTGAATTCGACCGCTCGATGTTGATGTTTACTTTGCAGTGCTACCACCCTTTACATTGCAATCTATTTTGTTGAATATTTTTGGATTTTGCGTTGTTCATAAGGTTGATGTTATACATTGGTGCAAATTAGTTTAATTCAAATGTTATACAGTTTGGGAATGGCCAGTAAGTAGGATTGTATTTTGAGGGTATACAATCGCATTAGCTCTGTTTGTTGGGAATGATAAGCCCCAACCTCAGTAAATTTTTGATTGTAACCCATGATTGATCTAATATGGGCTAGCAGGAATTGGGACTGCGATCGAAAGGTTTATAATCAGGTTGCTTAATTCCGGTCATGGTTTGTTGCTCGTCCCCGGAAGCGATTTCCGGCCTGCTTTGGTGTTTTCTGATCGAGGTTCTTTTGCAATTAATTTCAGTTTTGTAAGGTCTTGATGATCCCTTTGCTTTGTTTATTCTCAAATGACCCTGTGATGGTCTCGTAATGGACCAGACTGCTTAGACTGCACCTGCATGCAATGTTTGCTGGACTTGAACTGAACATTTGTCAAATACACTTTTGTTTCTCCTTCGGCCCAGGCACAATTTTGGTCACCATTCGACCAAATCACAATTTTCCACGCTTACAATTCATTTACTGATAGTTTACAGCGGGTCACCCGAAGCCGCAAATCTACCGGACATTATGAAACGTTGAGTTGCTTATGGGCGCCTGTTTTCATCCTGAAAGATTGGGAGTTTTTCAGAAATAAACCTTCCCCATAGTGGTAGAATATGATGAGTTATGTCAATGTTACCCAACTGGCCATTCCTAGACTGTGATCATACCACATTAAATACAAGTTACGATTTGAACCAAACTGATGGCGAAAATGATAATGGTGACATTCTTTTCTTTGAATAGTTTTACATTGTAACGTATAGTAATAAATTGTTTGTGTCGTAATGTGTTACCAGCGTTTTGGTTGAACGCTTTGCCTTCTGGTTGTCATTACCACGTTCCTACCAACCCTATAATCATCGTCTCCTATGAATTTTGTTAATTATTTAAAAATGTGTCGTGTATTTCTTGTCATTGACTGCTTTCGTACTTCGACGTGCGTGCCGGCACGCAGGTGGAATTTTAATCTTAATCTGTGTGCCTTTAAGAAATTTATCGAAGGCTGTAGCAGTCCTCTGTGCAAGGATCTTTTTTACAATGATGCTATTTCAAAACGCCTTTTAATGAATTCAAGTAGATCCTTGCCATAATTGTAGGCGGAGAAAACATTGATGTGTAGTAGCTGCATCATCGAAGAACGTGGCCACTGAACTCATTGGACAATTCCATATTTGCATTTGAAGGTACGAATACCGAAATTTCAGGTGGTTACTATGCAGGAGGCCCACTGCAAGGTCATTAAACAGATACTGAGAAGCTCAAGGGAGTAGAGGTGTACACCAGTGGTCAAAGACATTCGATATAAAGAATAATGCATGTGCCGGTGATCTTCGTCTCCGTCTAGTACCATGTGTAGGTCTCCCGCACGCGCAGAACAGTTATATCTACGTCCGGGTAGTGGGTACCTCAGATGTAAGGGGATATCGTCGTTGACCATGAGGGTAACCGCTCTGTGAACGCGCGCTTTCAGACGACTTACGGGGAACCCAACTCTGCCTATTTTCAGACGAAGCAGAGCCTAGCTCAGCTCTCATCCAAGTGTGTGTCCGATTTTGAACAAGAGTTCGATAAACAGGATTGGAGAAACATGTTCAATTCCTCCGCGGACTACGTCTTTTCAATTGAAGAGGTATGGAACGTATTTTGTTTTTTTAGTTGGCACTGATGTTGCGGAAAAGCCTTCTCATGCCAACAGCTAACGTCAAAGTTATCCACGAGGAACATTAAAATCCACAGAAGATTCTCTTCAGAATGGTGACTAATGTCGAACCTGTTAAGGAGTGCTACGCAGCTCGAAGGGTGTTCCCACAAACTACCACTTGTCGTTTAGAATGGCTACCGCAGCTTGGAGGGTACTATCCTTTGTTTTCTTACAGCGTTTACGGCAGTTAGCGAATCGTAACGGTCAGTTTCGCTCTTGGGCAGAGTTCCAAACTCTCTCGAACAAACTCGAGCTCTTTCTTCGAGTGGCACAACAACATCATCGAGTCATGAAGAAAGCAATTGATGAGTATGGCCGAGAGATGCTGGTTAGTTCCAAAATTCTCTTTCCCACCAAAAATCATTAGGTATAGTGTAGAATTGTTTTCATTTCCTCAGAGAAACATTCAACATTATAGCATCACCAACATCTCTAGGTACGTCTTCCTTCAAAAATAGTGGCGCCTGTGCTCGGCGAACTCGAGGCTTACTGGTTTTACTCTTCAAAATATGAGCTCCTCCTTAGAGTTCTGCAAAGGTGATGGCTCGATGAAGCATTGTCTGCGC